AGAGGAGGAGAAGACCCGGGCCCTAGAGGCAGAACGCAAGATTAAGGTACATTTATTTACTTATTTATTAATAGTTACGCGTTACTTTGCAGTGTTTTTTTTCTAGAATGTAATGCTATTAATAACTCTAATCTGTACGGGACTTTAAAGGCCTCTGTGTTGTAGATATTCAAGGGAAATTGCCTAAATAAATCAGGTTTTAAATTTTTACAAAATCTGTAAATAAATGAAGTAATGTACATTATTGCCTGCTGTTTACACCACAGTAAAAAAAACACCTGTTCAGATTTGATAGAATTGCGTTATTATACATTTTTTTAACACACATCTTTTTTTAATATTACACTTTTCTTTGTCATACTTCTATACATTTATTTTTTAGTTTATTTGCACAATTAAAAAATACACAAACAAACAAAGATAACAAATAATATACAGTGCAGGTCGAGGCAGAAAACCTACTGGATTCATTTGAAGCCTCCACGTAAACAATGTTCACATTTCACAATGTTCAAAATAAAATGACTTCTTAATGTGAAACTATTAGAACAAGATAATGTGAGTTTTTGAGGGGGATATTGACTTAGGCTTGTCTGTTAGAGTTTCTTTTCTTCTTGTGTTAGCTGGAAAGTGTCTACATCTGTGTGTGTGTGTGTGTGTGTGTGTAGGAGCTGGAGCGTAGCGTGGAGCTAACAAGCGGCAGTTACCAGAGGCAGCTGGCTGGAGAGAAGAAGAGGACCATCAGTGCCCAGGACGAGATCCAGACCCTGCAGGAGGAGCTGCAACGACTGACCAATAAACTCAAGGTCCAAACACAAAAAATATACTTTGGAATATCCACTAAGGCAAACGGTATCTTCCTTTTTGATTTGGTATAAAAAGCAACATTGTACGAAATGTTCACTTTGTTGATTCCTTTTCTTTTTAGGAGAAGGAGAGAGAACTAGATGATAGGAACATCTATGCCAACCGCATGATGAAACCTGCCCCAAGGAAAGATGTTGACAGTGTCACAAAGCGGAAAAGTAAGGCCACAATTTTGGTTCTAGGTAGACAGAAGCTTATTTGTGCATTTAACCAAAGAGTAATAATAATAATAATGGGTTCCATTTATAAAGCACTTCATATTTGATTTCAAATCCCAAAGTGCTACAAGCAATGAGCATGAACAGTATAAATAAACATTACACAACACGGTAGAATTAATAAAAAGCAATAAAAAAATAAATAAAAGGGTGGTAAAAAGAGTCTATTGCAAAGACTGAGGGATTTTGAAGTGCGGACTGTGTGAGATAATTATCTACCTACAGTCGGCAAGCCCACATTTTGCATAAAAGGACACCAACACAAGTACCAGCACAGGAGCTAAGCAATGCACTTCAATGGATTATGGGCAGCAGGAAAACATATTTTAGCCCCCTAAAAGAAAGGCTAGACCAAGATATCGATCAATCTAACTGCATGCAATAAGTAGAATCTTTTTACCAATATACCTTCCCGTCATATCGCCCTTTTCAACAGTGAACCTGTAATAATGGAAGTCACACAATGAAACAAACATATTGAGCACACAGTAAACCAGCAATTTATTTATTCTGCAATCTTAAATGACTGTTTTTGTTAATGGAGTCTGGTGGCTACCCATTGATAAGGGCTGTCTGATTGCATGTGGTGAAAATATTCAATATGAAGCGTCAACTAAAACTGATATTGATTTTTGTGTAGGTTTTAAACTTTGGAAACTTCCCTCATACAATACCGCCGCTTAATTAAATCTGTACTATCCCTTTAAGTTCAGATGGTCATTGTAGACCTGTAAACATCTATTCATAAGCTTCTCAAATGTTTGTATATTTATCCATATTGAAGTAGTTTTGAGAAGCTGATGAACATTGATGCTAATACATATTGGAAACTAGTGATCAAGGTTTCATGGTTTGCAAAAGGACTACAAAATGAACTTGAATATGTATTCTGCTCTTGTTTCACACGTAGTCCCCAGCAGGAGCAGCACTAAGGCAGTGCAGACTAAAGACAGGGCGCCCAGTCTGGATTTCCCCACTCCTCCCCCTGCCATCACTGATGCCAATGAGTACAGTGAACAGGCACCTGATGAGTATCTATCGCTCAAGGTAAATTCACTGTACCCAACATTCACATTTATTCCCCTCTCAGTGTCATTTGTCTGTCATTCACCTTTTACGCCTCTTTCTCTCAATCCATTTACTTCAGCAGGAGTTTGCCGGTGTTGACAGACAGGTGGAGACAGAGGACCGACGTCTAAAGTGGGAACAGCAGAAGACAAGCAACAAAGAAATAGAAGGAAACAAGGAGAAGGAGTTGGTGAAGGAGAACGATAAAGAGCTGCAAAAAGAGGAGAAGCTGCAACTGAACCAGGAGCTAAACTTGCTTGAGGAGAAGGCAAAGCAACTAAGAGAAGGTAAGATGAGCATACAGTACACATTTGCAACACTAATGCATTGAGAAAAGGATTAAAACATGGTCTTATGTCCACAGAGGAGAAAAAAGAGAAAGAGGACAGGAAGAGGATGAGTTCCCTGTTACGCCAGGAGGAAGAGAACAACAGGAAGCGTGGCCATGTCCAGGAAGAGGTGGACAGGTGGAACCACGGGGCTCTGTCCAATCGGCAAACGGCAGAGGAAGCACGTCGCACAAAAGAACTGCTGCTGGCTAAGATGCGTGAAATAGACCGCCAAGAGCACGGATCCCAGGACGCCATTTTTGCTGAGTCTATTCCTTCTGAGTCCAATAAGACCACCAGTAACCACGCTTCTCCTCGTCTTCCTGAGCAGAGAAACTCTTCAGTTTTTAACCTCACAGAACCAGAAGAGTCGGCCGGTGTCCGTGCTGGAGGCGGGGACAGTGGAAGGAGGAGATCAGGCATGGAGGGTGGAACTGCCACAGCAGGAGTGGGAAGGAGAGCACTGCGGACACAAATCTCCGGTGACGACCTGGCATTCGGGAGCTACGCGCCTTCATTCGGGAATTCAGCTTCTCGAGGTTCTTCCGGCTTCCCTCCCCCTCCACCGAAACAGGACAGGGACTCGTCGTTAGAGGCGATAGGTGTTTTTAGCCTCAGAGGGGTGGAGACAGAGAAAGAAAAGGACACGGACGGTGGAGCGGAGAAGGACAGGAAGGCTAGCCTCATGCAGCAACTATTCGGAGCTCTGGCAACACCTCTGGGTGACAGTGTGAGCACATACAATAAGATGGAGGTCCTCAAAAATCCTCCAACTACCAATGGGGTGCGTAAAAGGGAAGGACTACTCAGCTTCAACTCAGGGTCTTCTACTCCTCCAGCATCCTCCCTCAACACCATCCACGTGGCAGACAGCAGGCCCGCCATCCGTGCCATCACCTCATTTGATGATGACATAGAGGAACTTACTTTATGAAAATAATTTAGATTTGAGGTAGTCAGGCTCATAAAAGGCCATCACTGATGTCTGAAGTCACAAGATGAGTCAAAAATATAAGATATACAGTATAAGAGGGCTTCTTTGGCTCAGATGGTAGATGGTTGTCCAACATCGGAAGGTCGATGGTTCAATCCCCAGGCTCTGCAGTCAACATAAATGCAGTCCATTCACAATAAACATTGTCCTTAAATGTAAGTCTTACCACTATTTATTTCACAACAAAAATGTCCACATCATCAGCAGAACCAAATATAAAAGAAAAAATACTTTTTCTACAGATTTTCTTAAATATTTTCCAACAATATAAATGAAAAATTACATAACTTGTGTGAATGTTTTTATGTAGAACATTTATGGTTAAATGAGGTGTTGATGAAACTGGTAATACAGGGTTTTTTACCTTTTGATGTTCGGCTTGTAAATGTTGTGGACAGAGACTTGTTTCACTCCTGTTGTTCACTAAAATATTTAACAGGTGGGTGATTCATTATTGGATATTAGCCCTGGAAATGAGATCTTCCAGTACTGTTAGTCTGGGGTTGCTGATATGATTGGTTGGTTTGGACATTTATTTTATGTTTAGGCTCCGTCAATTTGATTTATTTTCCAGTCCATACCTCAAGAATCTAGCACTAAGCAATATGACAATCACTGTATGATAAGAGATTCTTCCTGAATGGCTGACATCTATATAAAACAGGTTATTTTTACAACTTTATGAAAATGGCAACTTTCTGCAGGTTTGTAACTACCAATATAATAATGATAGGCCTATTGATTAAAAGTCATATTACAGGGAACACTTAAATGACCCGAACTACATGTTGCTGCCCTGTTATCAAAGGATGGAAATATATTATTATAGGCTCAATTAATGCTTCTGTAGTTGTGTGGGAAATGAAATCAATCAATTAAATGTTGTGTTTGGACAAAGAAAAACTAACAAATGTATTCCCTTGACTTGAAGATATTGTAAAACAGTAACCATTAATATTCATTAAAACACTATGTCTTAGGGCCAGTCCCCTGCACTCGGTCTCATGTGATGGCAGACAATCGGCACTAAAGCAAACCAGGAGAAATGACATGCTATATTGAAGTTATATTAAAAAGAAAATACTTTATTTATATCTATATTTATTGATGTGTTATCTGAAATTATACCTTGCAACTCTTAATGTGGCACACAAAAGTGCATCAGTAAGCTTTCAAATTAATAGTTCTTTATTCAAATGTCCCATTAAACAATTTTGAAAAGGTTGTTGTAGCTTTTTGTGGCAAATCTTGTTCGAGTAACTTTCGTGATGGATGAAACTTGTAACAGTTAAAACAAACGTTGTGGTCTGTATTTAATTGTCGATTTTTTCACATTTTCTACTTGTCAAATTTTTGTTTGTTTTAAAAAGTGTATTTTGTTGAAAATAAATTATAGTAAAAGTGAAGTTGTGGCGCACTTGCAGTAATATCCGTGCGGCGGGAAGTCTGATTGGGATTCCTGGGACGTCTCCAGGCAACCAGAACCTGACGCAACCTCCCCGCCCCTCCTCCGGTAGCTCTCTGCTCAAAAACAAGTGAACCGTGGAGCTGCTCGCGGATGATATGAGCGAGAGAGCTGGCTCGCGACGTGACGGTCTCCACTGATGTCGCTGCTTGAACTACAAGTTTGTCTTCTGCGGGGAGATTCACAAAAGGTAACGAAACACACGCAGTTTGAATTATATTAGCCTGTTCCACATGATGCCGGTGGTGACTCTGCAGCACGGTGTCAGAAAAGATAGAGCAGGTTAAAATTAATGTTGAAGTGAGCTCGCAGTGCCACCTAGTTTACTCGTTCAAATGTAGCCTTAACATGTTGCAATGTGAAATTATGCTAGGCTATATCCTGAAGAAATAAACTAGAACTAGTTACATGGGGTTTTATTTATACATTTGGCTACATGAACACAATGAGCAATGGTATGATATTTGTTAACCACAACGTTATGTTTTGTCGTCAATGCTTAGTCTAAAAGTATTGTCAAGTTCATATTTAAAATTAGAAATCTAAAGACAGTAATACAGCATTAAGTTGTATTGTTGCATGTGTCAAGTTTAACCCATGAACAAGTGGAAAACTTTATTTGTAATCTTGATTATCATTTACCAATATAATCTTAACCTTGTGTCTGTCTAGATGGAGACAACATTTTAGGTTGGGTTATGGTTTGAGTAAAGACCAAAGGACTCGTGTTTGATGGTCACCTTGACATTAACCTAGATACAGTCACACAGTATTTTAGTTTTAGTCTCTAAAATGTACTTTATTTAAACTCATAAACAACCATAACAAAACACCTGTTGATTCTAATATCAAGTATGGGCTTTCTGCTCCATTTGTGGTTGGTGTAGGCTGTAAATGTTGCACATTATGAACCACAGTCTTTATGAGTTTCTGTTGCCATAACGAACACATCCAATATGCCACAGTTATTGGGTGTTTGACTTATAAATAGCTTTAGTTTTTCGGCTTCTCATCTCTTTTATTCCCTGTGCTATCCTGCTGATGATGTGGATGATTCTCATATTCCCATGTTCAGAACTGTATATCAGCACATAACCTTCCCTCCAGTTCTAATGTAGCACCTTTAAATGGAAATGACTCACAGGGGATAAAGCCTGGTCGGTTACTCTGCATTCATGTTTGTTATGTAGACATGCCTGCGTGTGCTAGATGGGACAGCCAGACTTCTTAAGGTCTTTAGCCAGACCTTAAGGTTTGGCATCTCATAACCGCATAAAACACATTTTATTGGTGTGGTAACGCTGTACTGGATGTAGACGAGCCATCAAATTCTGCTGACTTGAAACCAGAGGATTATACGCGCAATACTTGGTGATTTTGATGCCAGTTGAGATATTTGGATATAGCGATAAATGGTCCTTTTTCCCCACAAAGATTTGTCTGAGTTTGTGTTTGCCTCAGACTGCATTTGATATTCATATTCAGGATGTAAATTCTGGCTTCCTTAAGAAAAAGCTTCCCTGCTGGTCTATTGAAAAGTGGCTGGCTTCACCAAGAGTCTCACAAGCAATCCACAATAAGGGTGGTTATGATTCACAACCATTTAAGTCTTTATAGTTTTCATCAAAGCTCATTATATGCGTACACACACACTTCCCCTATTTTTCTAAACACCCTGGCTCTGCAGTTCATATTCACAGTTTAATCAATATCTCGCTGTACATATAGGGTCTTTACAAACTCTTTAAAAATGCATGTGGCATGGATTTTCCTCCGCTTTCACCGGCCTCCTGTAACAATGTGGTCTCCAGAGACACACTGATTCCTTTAGAAAAGAATGAGACGATCCATTGCAGGGCATGCAAACAGTAAGTCAGCTACTCTGCTCAGTCAGAGGTCTATTTACCTTGCGGAGCAGCTAAGCCTATCATTAGCTACAAGGGCAATGACTTCACTTCTGGTCTGCTGTGCCCATTATGGAATAACTGAGCACTAACCGCTTATTGAGTGCTTTAAGACTTTGTAAGAGGACACTGGGCAGAAAGTCCGCTTTTGCTTCCACTGCTACGAGCGTGTGTATGCTATATCATTTAAGAGGCTGCATTAACTATTTATTTCCTGACTTTGTTTTTCCTGTGGGCCTCCAGACTCCCATGCAGTGTTTCTAAACTGGTCACATTAAAAAATATGGCGATTTGGATTCCATATGTCTTTGTGTAAATGCAACTGCGTATGGATGTATAGCAATAAACAAGAGCAGGCTCCTTAAGAATATGTGATATAACATTTTAGCAATGTAAGCTGTATGGCTTTGTGGTAGGAAAGCTAGCGTGTAGGTTGATCCACCACTTTGGTCCAGACTAAAATAAGTCAGCCCATATTTGATGGATTGCCCTGAAATTTGGGATAGACTCTTGTGGTTTTGTGAATTGAGAGTCCGATTAACTTTCTTTGTTTGTGACCAAATTTAAAGTTGTTTATCGCTTTTCCCCCTGCCGCATCCATTATGGAGAAGACATTTCATATGTAAATCAAGTTACTAGGAAAATAGTGTGTTGACATTGCACAACACATCTACATGTATTCACTAAGTTAATCATAAATGCACCCTACATGTACATAAAAGTATATTCACATAATGACATGTAATTAAATGCAAAAATAAATGGTAAAAAATAATACAGTAAAACATTGATTACCCAGGGGAACCCAAGATAAGCACATCAGTGTGCTATGCCTTAGCGAAAACTCTTAATATAATTCATAATTATTTTCCAAACATCATTAAAACCTCCTATTACCATAATTATAACTTAACCCAGGACTAGACTTAATGCACTTTGTTGAATTGTGTGTTTTTGTAATGTATATATATATTAGAAAGGGGTCTATGACTAATAAGTAATTAATACATACTTTTCTTGGCTCTTAATTTATGATTATTCTATGATTTTGTAAGATTATGTAGTTATTGACATACGTTGTTAGCTATAAATACAAGGCTTGCTGTATAAAAGCTAGCCTATCCCCCATTGTGCCCCACTGCCAGTCCTCTGTCCCAGGTTCCACTGTTTAGGCCAATAAGCCCTGACGACATGAAATGGAAAATGTGCAGATTAATTTACATTGGCTGTGACGTTGCTATGGAAACAATTTGTTCCTGTTAAATGAAAAACCTGTAGGTGTGTTTCCTCTGTGCGCTGATCCGTTATTATCTGATACGTGAGAAGCCAATTGCTCAGTCACTTTACAGAATGAAGGCAAACACGGAAAAGGCACAAACTTTCCCTATCCTCATCATTCAGGATATGTTCTGTCCACTCATAACTGAGTCTGCCAAGCTTCAGCCGAGGTTAGTCTTGCTTGTCAGATGATGACACACTAGTTTTCGTCATTTGGATGTAATTGCCAGTCAGCAAAAGTTTCATAAGTTGTATTTCTCTCCTCTGCAGATCTAACTCTTCCTCCGAAACACCAATGGAGATGTCAAGGAACTTTTAAATATCAACTTTCCTGACAGAGACAGTGGACACAGCAAAGGAAAAACATACGACTATGATTATTTGTAAAAACGAATGAGGCCACCAATGAAGAGCAGATATTCATTTTTATTTTGAAACATTTGGTACAGAGCTTTTTGTTTTTAAAAGATTAATCATGGACAGTACCTCAGCTCCTCAGATTGTTGTGGACAAGGCAGAATGTGAGGAAGACTTGGCTCTGCCTGCAGACGATCATCTCATGGACCTGAAAGCCCTGACAGAGAAACTGAGACTGGAGACGAGAAGACCGTCCTACCTCGACTGGAAAGCCCAGCTCGAGATGGAAAGCTTCAGAGAGTTTAGATCGGAAAAAAGCCCGGTCACAGAGGAGCTTGAGGGGGAAGCAGCCCGCCCCAAAGAGACCGCAGTGAGGTCTGCTGTGATTCAGTGCAAGATGCCTTCAGGTGCACTGAAGGGGTTCGAGAACATCGATGAAGCTCTCAGCTGGCTGAGGAGAGAACTGGTGAGACGATGCTTACATTATCTTCAATGTAGAAATATATCATCTTTTTTTGTAAACCGGGAAAAGATGACATAATGTTATCCAATTTGTAAGACAGTATGAGGTCTCATATCACAATATTGATATACAATTGGTTTATTGTCCAGCCCTAGATATTGTAGGTCCTATTTAAAAGATGTTATTTAGACACTTAAGAATTGCATGTGTACAGATGAAAATACACACTTTGACTCACATTTCTAATTTGAAGAGCCTTACAATTTTGCATTAAAAAGCCAAAATAGGAAAGAACTCGGCCAATTAAAATGTAACATCGTGCACCATGTCCAAATAGTGGCCTGCAGAATCCCATTCACGCTAGCGAGTGAGATGGATGCAGCATCAGACATTTGTCTCACACTGTTTCTGCCGCTGTAACCTCTTTCCCTCTGCTCAATTACTCAATGCATTCACCCCACGGTTGGTAAGCTTGGCTGCAGCACGCAAAGAGGCACAGTCAGAGGGAGAAACTCTCACAGTATGTGGCCGCAAACGTTTTGGACAAACACAGAGGCCGGGAGAGGTGATTACCATCTCTGCACGGGCGTTTGCACACACACAGAGGACACAAGAGCGATAAAATGGAGAGAGATTACGATGAGGCACTTCTTTTCTGATGTCCCACTGTGAGTTTTCTTTTTGGATTTTGTCACACAATAAGGACTCACAGCAAGGGACCTGCAGTCAATCAAGATCATGTACTCCATCCATCAAGTAAATAAGTTCCAACTATATCAACAAATTAATTGTCTTTACAAAAGGAGTTTGGGGGCAATTTTAGGAAGTTCACTTTCTTTCTTTCTTATTTTATGTCTGTAGGGTAAATATTCAGTTACAACCAGGAAACAATTAGCTTAGCTTACCATAAAGAGTGGGACAGGTGGTCAAATATGGCCTGGCTCTGTCTGAAGGTTACAAATCTACCAACAAACCTCTCAAACGTACAAATAAACATAACACAATTATAAATCTTAATGGTAAAGTTGCAAGATGTCCAAAAACGATTTACTCAGCTAAAACAATAGCGCAATTCTTTTGACTTTTCACTTAAGTTATGACCATTTTATTTGATTTAGTGATCAGGTTGTTTGAGCACCACTGTTGTCCCGCCTCTCTCCATCAGACAGACATGCGGATGCAGGACCAGCAGCTGGCGAGGCAGCTCATGCGGCTCCGCAGCGACATCCACCAGCTGAAGATCGAGCAGACGTGCCACCAGCACCGCCGGATGCTCAATGACGCCACCTTCGGCATGGAGGAGCGGGACGAGCTGTCCGACCTGCTTTGTGAGTGTCCCGTCACCCCGGGGCTCGGCCTCTCCGCCCCGCTGAGGCTCATCGGCGTCACCAAGATGAACATTAACTCTCGACGGTTCTCGCTTTGCTAGTGACTGGGATACAGTTTGAGGCAAAGAATCCTGAAAACCAAAAAACAGCCGGTCTAATCTCGTCTTGTCATGACAGCCCTGGTTGTTTGTTAGATTGTGGAGCAATCTTTTTTTGACCACAATGTTGTGAGGGATGTAAACACCGTTTTAAAGACCCTATAATCAAAGAGAGAGATTTAGGTAATTTGGAAAGAAGAATTCTAGTGTTGAAGTAAATATATCATTTGTTTGCCACTTAACTATAATACATGGCAGCTATAAACAGAAACCTTTATTTCTTAAAACTACAGCAGATTTTAGAATTGTAGACATTGAAACAGAAAACTTGCCCTTTTTTAAACTACAGTAAAGCAATCTCAATCTTATTCCTGAGCTTTTTAAGCCTCATCAGCTAAACTACAAGTAGCTACTCTATATGTTTCCATATATTTTTGTTGTTTGCCAGATTTATCAAGCACAGATTTAAATATATTCTTACTGTATTCAGACCTCTATGTAGGATGTTTCAGCGACAGTGACAGCTTCTTTCCCTTAATATAAATGTTACATTTAAAAATATGTTTTAATATGGATACCATTTGTACACTATGCTATACCTTATGCACAATTGAGTAAACGAGTAGTTAAGTAGTTTAGAAAGCATTTGTAGAATATGATGAAAATGATTCTTTATGATGACTGTCATTTTGCACTAGTTGTTGAAATCGCAGTGGTTTCCAGCAAATTGCTGCATTTTGTTATAAATAAAGAAGTTTAGCTCTTGGGTTGAGCTTTGCTCTTTTTTTACTCTAATTGTTCAGTTCCAGCCAGGAAGTTAACATTTGAGATGGCGTTCTTTGTCTGAAAAATTGTTTTATTGAATTATAGCTCATGGCATGATTATGTGGGTCCTTCTATAATGGGACATATAATTGGAGGTAACCTATTTTCTATGTTCAGACTCACAATGCACAGACCGCACAACAAGTAAAGGAGTTTAGACTTTGAGATGCCCCTCCTTGTGTATATAATATAGCTTGGGCAAAATTACAGCTTTAATCTCTCACTCCGACTCATTTGTTCGCCAAAACCACTAATTGCTTTTCAACCAACACAATACCTAGCCTCAGTTTGCAGTTTCTCTGAACAATAAGCCACCTGGCTAGAAAACACCAAGTTTGCCAACTTGATCTTGTTACTGAGCCTATAATAGACGGGAACATACCTTAAAACTGGTTTGGTTAAATATGATACCTAATCCAGGAAGAAGCATGATTTATTTAAAATAAAGAAGATTACATACACTTTACCAACAATTATTTTTGAGTTGGGATGCTTCTCTTTTTGGAGATGCTCTGGGCTTTTAACAACATCTGTATTAGTTTAGTTTAGCTTCAAATTATGAATAAGTCTCTTAAAACTATACATTTCTCTTGTCATTAAAGAAACCAGTTGAATGTGCTGTCACTTAAAGCTTTAGAGAAACTGGTAGATAACTCTTTAATAAGTAACCTAGCCAGGCAAACGACTCCCCTCTGTTTCCATTATGCTAAGCTAGGCTAACTGACTGTAGCTTCATAATTGACAGTCTTAAATGAGAGTGGTGTCTGTGTTCTCATCAAACTAACATCCAGAAAAGGAATACATTCCCGAAATGTTTAATTTGTCCGTAAAACGTTGGTGAATGACATACATTGAGTTTCCACCTTTCTTCAAATAAACCCATCAGTTTTTTTTTGTCGTCGGCGCCACTTATTATTATTTTAATAATAATAAAGTGACCCTTTTTGACTTTTGATTGTTTGTTATGTGGATTTGTAGTATTTGTGTTACTGTATGTTCAATAAAGGTGTATTTTGCTAAATCTTGAGACATTGCCACTGTATGTAGGCTACTAGAACTCAAGAGCCTTTCTGGTGCTGGCAGACACAACATATTGGCGGGGCGCACTTCGCACGCGCACACACTACAAAATTCCACGTGCTCCGCGCTCACATTTTGCTGGGCCCGCGTGCCTTAGCACCGCTGCTAAGACTCCATCCTAAGGGAAACACTGGAAGAACTATGAGATTTTCATGCATGAGCTCCAGCTTTACGTTGGTTTAACTCCTTTTGACTGAAAGGCTGCCAAAAAGGGGCTATAGTAGACTTTTTGCTGGTGATCAAGATTTCTATCTTTCTCTTGTTCTATAAAGCTTATTAAATGACCTAAATACTGCGACAATTTCTCAATCCAAGAAACACCAAGGAAATCGTTGTGCTTGTTTAGATTCAAGGTCTGACAGATGCTCCTGGACTTTGCCATTTTATTAATGTCATGCCTACATCTTCTAATTTGCATGACAAAATGAATTGACTAGCATAAAATCTGGCACTTTCGCCTAGGCTGAAGCATGAAGATACTGTGTAGAAACCAGTCCTGATGCAAAAAATAGACAGCTAATTCAGGGAGATTTTGACAGTATGATGTGCATTTAATTTAAGGGTAATTACGGTATAGCTTCCAGTTAGATTTATATGTATTTTAAAGCAGCGAGCAGTCTTGCTTTCTTAACCATTTGTCAGAGTTGTTTTCTGGGAATGTAGCTGCGATACTCTTCCAGGAACATAGCAGATGTGACACCACAGAGAGGCAGTTCTCCCCCTGACTGAGCAGCAGACACAACAAGCATCAATTGACTGACAGGAGGCTCACAGAGGGTCCGCAGGGGGAGACTGGCGACAATCCCAGACAGCATCTACATGCCGAGTTTTTGTGTTGGAGTGAATCGATAAATCTCAGCAAATATTAAAGTGGACCTATCATGCTATATTTAAATGATATATTGTAGGGCCATACCTATATAAGGTATATTTATACGTTTCTGTTTTCAAAATACCAAACAGATCATGCATTTTAGCCATGCCTCATTTCGCTCTATGTGCTGTTTGCTGTCTACGGGTCTGATTCTGCTGACCACGCCCCCCTGCAGGAGAGGTGAAACGTGCTCTGATCAGCTGCTGGGCTGTCAGAAGAGGGGGAGAAAAAGAGATCTCCGTCCTCCGTGTTTTATTATATAGAGTCGTTATTCATTTGTTTTAAAGCTCAATAAATAACAAAGAAGACCTTTGACCGGCACTTTTCAAATTTTGTCCGGAAGATTTAAACTTTAATCTTGACCGGCGAAAGTAACTGAAACTGAAACTCTGCCGCACGGTCCCCTCGTTCCTTGGAAGAGGCGGAGAGGTGGGTGTTTGTCATCTGCTGGTGGACTAACCGGAGAGAATTATAGTGCTTGCCTCGAGCGTTTGCAGCGGGAGCAAACGCTTGCCTCGGGGAGGGAGAAAAAAAGCCACAGCGGAGAATAAACAGAAGGGTAACCATGGTAACTATGGGCGGGAAGTCTTCTTCGCTGCTTTTGTGGCAGACTACAGCGCCACTTACAGGCCTGGCATATGTACTACAGCGTCTCCAGCGCTTTCGAGCGGCAATGGCCGGCCGTGGCCCAACCCCACATTCCCCTGATAGGTGGAGAGTTGGCCCAATAGCCGTAGCGCCACTTCTGTGACGACATAGAAGTGTTCAAATCTGGATCAGTCTGTATCAGATCCGTTGCAGCTCCTTTTTTAGAGATTTGGGTATGGAGGAAAATAGAGAGGGTTGTGTTTTCTGACACTTGGTGAGTTCCCTGGAACACCGGGGACACATATTCATGTATAAAAGACGTACAAAAGTGCATTTTGCATGATAGGTCCCCTTTAACTGTAAGAACGAGACCATACAAGAAACCACAGCCCAGAGAAGAGACCAAGAATAGAAGCATTTTAACTGATGGAGTATTCCCTATTTTGGATTATAGCTAAATGTGTGGTAACAAAATGTTCCTACTTCCTCATTTGTGACACTTTGTAAATACATTTGACCAATTTATCAATGATTTACTGGAAGATACCCAACCAGAAATGTCACTGTTAACTTTTGATGTTGTAGAAATAAGAGCTGAGTCACTGTTTTTGTTGGAGAACAGGGCACGTTGCTGAGGCCTGAACTCGACCACACCATTAACCCCCTGGAGTGTCAAGACACGGATTCTGACTGTTTGTTGTTGGAAAATAGATTTATAAGGTCAGAGGAACACTTATTAAAAGTGTCCTGGAGCTAAAAATAGAGATTAAACCATAGCTTTCTATGTGGGATATTCATTTGGGGAAAAGCCCCTTGCTTGCAGATTCCTTTTAATTTTGGATTAGGCTAGTGGGCCTTTCATTGAGGATCAAAGGTTGAGGTTTTTTTATATATATTTAAAGCTTTTTGAATTTGTTTAATCAGAATTTTGGGACAGATTTGTTCCAACATGTGGCCAACTTTGTCTGCCATTTCGGGCTTAGTATATCCAATTTTGCTGTTGATGCTGGAACAGATGCCTAAAATATGTTAAGTTGACCTGAAAACAAAAACAATGTGCATGATATGTTAAAAGGTTATGTAGAACTAAGGGGAACTGCAGTCAGGTGATAAATATGGGAGTTTGCCAGTAAATAAAGTAATTCAACCATTAACACATTTTTACTTCTAATTATAGCTGGTAGGCTAGCTAGGCTTTAGTCTTATTAAGGTAAACCACAAGATAAATTAACCCTTATTTTAATATCTAGATTGTTTTTTATTTAAACTCTGTGAAGCATACATTTGGAGATGCAAATCCACTGTATTTACAGATTTTACACAATGTTAATCCCATAACCATTATAACTTAAATCTCATGTTTGCATTTGTGACTACAATAATCTTCTCATTAAAACGAGCCAACACCCATGGTATTCTTCATGAGGAATGCTCACACGAAGTGACAGGAGGCTCTACAGGGGCTCCAGCAGTTGTGGTAAATACTCTTGTTATAAAGCAGCATGGGATCTGTTTAATGACTTAATCAAACAAACAGATCTATTTAATAATTACCTACTTCAAATGAGGCACCATGATTCATTCTGCTGTTTAAAAACTGGATTAATTTACAGTCGGCCAATTAGCAGTCTGCCGAGCTCTGTGAGAACATAGCTTGATTACACAGAGGCTGTGTCAAAAACAATAATTTACTCTACTTATGTACCAAAACAGTGCTGAGACTTTCTCAGAAGCTAACCGAGAATAGTTTGCTTGTGTGATGACGAGAGGATTTGCTCGGTTAGATCATCCTTTTGTTTGAGGCAGACAGTGTCGAGAGCCAAAGCTATTTGAACCCAGGTGTAGTGTTGCAGTCTGCACATGCACTCCTATACCCTCTGCTCCACCCGGACCACAAATACGAGAACTCATTCCAGTTTTTCTACTTTTACAATCATATAAAAAGTAGATCTGTAAAGGAAATGTTTCAAAATCCCAGAGTGGCTTCACAGGCTGGAATGAGCTCCATTTTTCTTGCCAATTTTCCAAGACTCACAAAAATATCCCCCAACTTTGTAGGGCATGTCTGGCATGATTGCTTTGATGAAACTCAGACTGATGTTTCACAGCAGCTTACGTGCATCCAAGCACATGATCAGTCAGAGAGGATCATAATCAGATTAAAACTTCACCTCTTGGGTCAGATTTGGTGTATGAAAGTCATATACAACACAGCACAGCCTCATTTCAAACTGCTTATAATGCAGCAGCGTATATAATAATAAAAAGGCTCATTAATGCTTAGCGCTTTTGAAAGAAAAACAGACATATCAGTGTAAATAGCTGTTATTTAATAACCATGATTTGCTCAACAACTGTAGTTACAGTTCATAATTCCCTGTCTGTGTGGCAGACAGTCGGCAGCAGTACTGCAGTGTAAAGGCACAATGACAGATACATGTAATATCAGGAGACATAACAAAGATGACCTGCAGGAGAAATCATACATTTACATCAGCCATAAGTGGCTTTGTCAAATACATTCCACTCAATCGCTTGGATTGACTGACAATGTTTTGTTTGTACAGCATTTCCTTGGTCAGTTTGAATAAAGCAAAAATATATATATAAGAGTAAACACTGATAAAAAAATGATAGTGTACTGTTAAGTGATACACAAATCTTATGAGAAAAAATTATATATATATCAAAATGTTCCACTCTCACAGCGACACACAAATGTGAAATAAATGATAGTTCTCCTGGTGGATGAAGCTGACTGACCTAATGGTAATACAACAGCACATCGATACAGCCTCAGTCTTTACCTTCTAAAACATGCACACAGTCCTCTGGTGGATCCTCCAGAGGCTTTGAGACGTAAAAAAAAACAGCCAGAAATATTCTCAATCACTGGAGATTTTCACTACAATGCTGACAGCCGTGGCAGATACTGCCAATAAAAAGAGTACAAAATCAAGTGACTTTAAAAATAAATCAGAGGCTCTGAAATCCTCTGAAATGCAAAGATAGCCCACTGACTGCCTAATGTCTGCAGCATAAGTGCATTTGTTGACTTCATGTTTGTTTTCTTCGTGGTGATAGGTTGAGGTTTTCCTTGAGTGCGTGGGGATTATGGAACGTCCTCTTGATAATTAGAGGAAAATACAATAAACTAAAAAAACTCTTAGGTCAGTGCTTCGGACCCTCTTCATCTGATCCGTTCAGCTCATGCCTACTTGTTCACCTCCTCAGTGTCCCCCTGTGTTCTCTGGGTCAGGGGGCCACGCCCTCCTGGTCCATGCTGCAGCCGAGGGCCTCGATGTCGTTGCTGATGTCCGTGATCATGCGGTCCCACTCGTCCCCCTCCGAGGCCTCCTGGCCCTCGTCC